AAATGCAGATTCTCCTCCACAACCTCATGACCGCTCCCTGTTGTGCTCATCTATTCATCGTCTCCCACCTCTCATTGCACTTGAGAGCTCCTATCCAGCATTGTCACAAAGAATGCACATCTATGCGGGCAAGTGTTCAGAGAGGTTTCCTCAACATCCTTCCAAATTTCTGCATGAAGTCTAATTGCATTGCCTTAAAGCAAGGCTCTTCTGATCACTGACCCAAATAGTTTGATGCCTTTTATTTCCACCAGATGAGCAGCCATTTCAGTGATTAATGTGATGCTGAGGCAAGTGTTCTCCCCTCTCACAACCAAATCTTCTCCAAAAAAGGGACTAAAACCCCCATTTGGGTGGTTGAAACAGACATCCTTTAGGTGGCATTGAGCTATGTGCAAGAACAGCAATATTGATACTTATTTCCAGCTGATTCTTTAGATGATATTGTGTGATTCTCAAGGATTTTCAGACACAGAGGTAGAAAAGAAACCAATCATATTCAGGATGTGTGGTTTCTAATACCTTTTCAGTTGGCATCTATGTTTGCCACCTAAATCAGGGCGCAATCAGATGGGCAATTGTCTTGCAATTTGGCCAGTGCTGGAGACAGGCTCATTTGTTCCTTTTCTTGGCAACCACACAAAGTACATGCCATCGTGAGCCAGCCCACACTGGTAAATGGCTACTTGCACCTGTCAGGGGCTACTGGGTTGTTTAGGTGCAAATATGATCACTCTGTTCTGGTTCGGTTCCAGCATATATGATTGCTGGGATTGAACCAAAGCAGATGACTTAAGTTACTCCTTTCCTTAAGCCTTGAGATCCTGAGAAATGAAAAGCTTCCTTTCCACTTTCTTGTGGAGGGAAAGAGAGAGGAAGTGTTCCATTTCTTTTTGAAATTTCCTCTCCCTTCCTCTTCACTGACAGGCGTGACATAAGCTTCCCAATGTTCAAGATTGTTCAGTGGCTTAAGCAAAGCATGGGGGAGGACACAGGATGGTGGGTTTTTTTTGTTTGTTTGTTTTCTTGGGTTTTTTCTGTTTTTCTTTTAAAGGACATCAGAGTGGTTTTCTTTTAAAGGACATCTTGCTAAACAAAGTGGTTGAGATACGGTGTGGCTGATTCTTGCACATGACTGCAAGGAGTGCTCCAGATCACTTACTGCACTCACAGTGACCTTGTTTAGCATAATCCAGACTGTTCGAAACCATCTAGTCACAGCCTCAACACACAGAGGCAAATGAAAAGTCTCCTGCTCAAGAAAAAGATGCAAAGGCATTATTCTTTTGATTACATCCTCCTTGGGCTCACACACAGATGCTTTGCTTTCAGCCATCTGTTAGTGCCTTGCTTTCAAGAGCTTATTTATTCAGCCAAAAGGAAACAAGAAGAGGCCCAAGGAGGGCTGCCAAAGTGCCAAAGGCTGTATCTTTCTCTGTCTGAGGCAAACTAGTGTGCCCAAAGCCCATCTTAAATCAGTCCAAATCAAACTACAAGATAGCTTAATTGTACTGGCTCTGATATGCTAGAAATCTGGTTTGTCTGAGCGGTTCTCAAGAGCTTGTATCATCTGTGGTCAATTGTAAAATCTTCACTCTTCCATGGGTCTGTGGCATTTCTCCTCCACCTTCTCAAGACCTCCATTTCACCCCCAGGGGAAAGCAGCTCTTGCTCACCTTAGAGAAACAGATGATTATTAATATCCCATACAAGAGAAAAGTAAATGATCCACCAGAAACAAAATTTATGGCTGGACTTGTGGCATACTCCTCTTTTAAGAGAAGTGTAGGGAATTATTTTTGAGCAAAAGTGTGACTTCTCCACTCTCAACCTAGCAGTTCTCATCCCGGTGTGTAGGTTGAGTTTTTTTAAAAAAAATAAAATGCATGGGTCATCTTTATAAATATTGATCCTTACAGATGCATTGAGATTTGTCTATCTGGAGGAATAGGCAACAGATATTAAAACTTAATTAATCTGAATGTTCTTTCAGAGAATTGTTATAGTACTGTCAAAACCATGTTTTTACAGTGTTCACTAATGTATGTGATCAATGTGTTTTTATAACCTATGACATCTGAAACCCAGGCATTTCCTGATGTAAATGTGTGTAAAAATCAAGTACAAAATATCATTGTTTTGGTGATGTTAGAGGACCTCAGTTTACTTTCCAAATACATTGAGAGGTATGCTAAACGTGAAAAGGGGCACACACAGACAATGTGGCTATTTAATAGAATTGGGATAAGGTGGTGTTACAATAATCCAACATTACCTAACAGATGACATTGTTACGCCATGCAAAGCATAACACGTGCGCACTGTACAATCAAACTGCATGATAGCTTTCCCCCCAGGGAGTGGGTGTGCAAGACACAGACAGGGAACCATCTCTGCTCCATAAGAAAATACCTCTTGTTAGATCACAGCAAGCGGGGGCTGCAGGAATAAGGCAGCCCGTTCAAATATAGCTTTCTTGCCTTTGGGGGGAGTGGGAGTGGAAGTGAAGTGGAATCATGGGAGTGAGTTAAGAGTACAGTAATCCCTGAAGGGTCCTACGTTCCCACCACCACCACCACTTTCTATTTTTCCAGAGTGGATATGTACTGATTTGGTTGCTTCTTTCCCTATTAAAAGCTGGGCTTGGCAACAGGTCCTGTTGAGGTTCCAGGCAAGAGGGGCAGGCAAGGAAAAAAAGGGGGGAGGAGGACGCATTTACCAGGAGCAGTCAACTTCCAGTCTCCCTGGAGCTAGGCAAGGGGGAAAAAGGGGGGAGGACGCATTTATCCGGAGCAGTCAACTTCCAGTCTCCCTGGAGCTCTCCGAGGTCCTGCCTGATTGTGGTTAACCTCTCTGCTTGTCCTCCACCTTCTTCTGCTGTCCATGACACCCTCTCTTGATCTCTTTGCATTGCTTCATTTCATAGATGAGAAAATTCGCATTTTTAGGGATTGCCAGTGTTCCCCAGCTAGTCTATTGGCTAAGCAATTCTGGGGATTGGGATCCTTGTGTTTTTTGGATTGCCAGTATTCCCCAGCTAGTCTACGTAGCTACTGGCTAAGCAATTCTGGGGATTGGGATCCTGAAAAGTAACTTTATCCAGCTCTGCTTCATCTTGCCATATTCTGTTGTTGGCTTTTGGTTACCTTCTGCTCCGGATCAGTTCTCCCTTAATCATGCTGACCAGAAGAGGTATGTTGTGTGTGGAAAACAAGGAGCTCTATGCAATCCGATTCCCACTCTACCCCTGCAAAAAAACAGGAAGCAGGGAAGAAGACATGCACATTAAGTTTAGGAATAGAAACTGATGAAGAAAAGTCGATATAGTCTGACTAAGCTATTGCTACATCAAAAATTCAATTTGTCTAGAATGCTATTTCTTGATGTGAAAATGCACAAAAAGAGGAACTTGTCGTGGGTTGGTGGGGTGAGTAAATGGAGTAAAGCAACGCCCCTGGCATTGTAGGATATGATGCAAAGTCACAACTAGTAGTCAGCAGACTCACTGATATCAGTCTAGAGGAGGCAATATGCTTGATGAAGGAGTCTTGAGTTTGTAGCTCACCATGCCTTGAAATTGAATGTACAGGCTCAGCAAAACTCAGTTAATACATATAATACATATGAATATAGCAGGGAGTAAAAACACCACACTCTTAATAGTTCTCTTTTAAGCCTTTAAAAGCTCTCAATGCTATATATTCTGGTAAATAAGATTGGAACATTTTCATAATTGTGCAGGTCCTTTACACTCTCCCATACAACAACTTCCAGGCTACAAAGCACAACTCTGTTCCATGCAACTGCTTTTCAGGTTGCAAACCCCAGTTCAGTCCAGTTCAGTTCCAGACTTTCAGACAGCCTGTGGTCTCTGACCTCTGGAGAGGAAACTTGAAGGTGAGATGGGGAAACCATACAGGCCTCCTCAGGCCCACAGGGTGGAGGTTGCTTATATTTGCTTCACACAGTAATGTTTTATACCCACCAAAATAAAATAAAAAATGATACTTTATTTTCTTGTTTGGTCATGTTTACATTCTACAGCCATCCAGAAGTACACAGAGCTATCTGGTGGAAGAATAGTATTATCTTCTGAAGATAACATTGAAGAGTCAAGAAGATCCATGAATTCAGCTGAGATTATGTGCCAGCCTGGAAATATTCCTACAACATAGGAATAATATTCCCGAATAAGTATTGTGGTACTTTGAAAAGTACAACATTAAAGACTAAAAAAATTTATTTCAGCAGCAAATTTCATGGATGTAATCCACTTCTTCATATATTGTACACAAGTTTGTTCCAGATTTGTGCTCCTTCTGAAGGAGTGGATTTTATCCAGGAAAGCTCACACTTAAGTAAGTTCTGTAATGTTAAAAGTACCACAATACCTTTGCTTCCCTGCCCCTTTGTACCTGAAGAAAAGTGTTCTGTGTCTGTGTCTCTTCCATACCTTTGTGTCTGAACAGGGAAGTTGCCCGTCTTTGCTCTTGTTGTTGTTATGTGCCATCAAGTTGCCTCCAATTTATGGTGACCCTTTGAATTGAGCGATCTCCAAAATGTCCTGTCCTCAACAGCCCTGCTCAGCTCTTGCAGATTCAAGCCTGTGTCTTCCTTTAAGGAATCAGTGAATCTCATATTTGGTCTTCCTTTACTGAAGCCCAGTTCCCAGAATTCCTGCCAGTGGCCTTGCACTCTTGGATTGCCTGGAGGCTGAAATCTAACAGTATCTGGGGACCCAAAGTTGGAAGTCACTGTCCAAGAGGACAAGCAAAATCATCCAGCTGAGGTTGCACTTTGCATGTGTGTCCCACCTCCCGATGTTCAGATTAGCTTTGGATCTCACAAGACCACCATCATAAATTGTATTCAGTTCTCTCACTGTTTACGATTTGTTGATTCTAAATGTGTGAAAGATGGGAAAGGAAGCAAGAGGAAGTGATGGTGCAACATCAAGAAACAAGAAGCAGAACAGATTGTTTGCTCGTTACCACCAGGGCAAGATTTGCAGATGCTGCAGCTCATGGTTGTAAACTCTCCCTAAAGTCTCCCCGTCCTTTTAGAGGCAAAGGGGCGGAAAGGAAGCAGCTGTCCAGACCATGCAGCTGCTCTCCTTGGTTGCCTTGCTACTCCTCCTTCCAGGTGAGACACTTGCTTGTTTTGACATTTTAAAAGAACCTGATGGAAAAGTTTGCTCGTCTGTGAATTTGAGTTGCTAAATAGGTTTAGTTTGGCACAAATGAGAAAACATTATACTCCACACAGAATAAATGTTGAGATCTTGGGAAATGCTGATGTTAACAGAAAGTCTAACAATTTAAAGAAAATGTAAAGAAAAATGATAGCATGCTATTCACTATTTTTTTAGTAAATTTCAAGACCAACCAGGTGCCTCTGAGCAAATTAATTTTAGTTTCATCATTTACTGGTAAACGTTAACTTTGGCCATGGTTTGATTATAGAAGATGTCCAAAACAATGGCTAAAAAACTATTGGATATTTGTGTGTTTGTGCAACAGAAATCATTGACCTTGGCATGGCTTATTACAGCTAATTGACGAGGTGCCTGGCATGTGTCAGGAACATGATGGATGCACAATTGGGAAAGGAAATTCACGGTGGGACCAATATATAACCAACACCTTCTCCATTAGCTGCAGCATCTTCTGCAGCTCCTCCTGTGCATATCCAACAGAATGCTGGCCATCGTCCAACAAGCTGCTCAGGCATTTACTGCTAAAATTTGAGGTTGATTCTCTGTCTTTCAGGGCTTGTTCAGAATATCTACAGCAGTGGAATGTTAATAAAAAACTAATCATAAAATTAAGTAATTTAACTCAGATAAGTTTAAGATTAACTGATAAATAGGGTTCTCTTCACAAGATTTGAAAACCTTATCAATAGTCCCAAAGGATTTCATAAAGAATATGAAATACATATTATGTGATCACGCTCTACTTAGATCTCATAGACTTTGATGACAGCACTATCTGGAAAGGCGTGGGACAGGGTAAGGATAGAATGATACAAGCTTGAACTGTCTTGATTAAACCATGATAGCTGACCATTTTTCTAAGGCTAATTGTAACTAACTGACAAGGTGTCAGGGCGCATCTCAGATTCGCAACTGAGCACATCTCCAAGCATGTGACTAAGATACCTTGCCATGTCCTGAATTATCAGCAGTTAGCCGCTGTATGTTACACAAACCTGACAAGGATACTGACAGGATTCTGACCATTATATAAGTCTCTCTTACAACAATCCTGTAAAGCGGGCCCTGGTTGTTGTTCTCAGCCTATTGCACATAAGGGGCTGAGTGCCACAGGCTGCTGAATAGTAGAGGCTTGCCTAAGCAGTAGCGTAGCATGGATTGCCAGCACGAGGGGCTAGGCAAGTATCACGCGCCCTAACCCATGGACCTGTTAGCACTCCCTGAGTACCTTCCACCAGTCCAGTATTGAAACCCCTGCCCCCCCCCAGCCACATGTATTGTATTTTAAACACTGAACTGAATTTAAAAGGCATTTAATGTTAGTATACTCAAATATATTTCAAATTACGGGGTCTTAATTTGTGCATATTTTTCAATAACAGTATTGAAATCTACATTGAAATCTCTCTCAATTTAATGTTGTTTGTTTAACAGGAGTGCTTATGAGATGTGGACCCCATTGGCCCGGAGGGACTGTGTGACTTACAATCCACCCCAAATAGGGCACTAAAAGCAGCCTGTCTGCCCTGAGTAGATGAGGGGATCTAAACAAGCTTGCCAGGCAGGCTCATTCCTCTGGCTCTTATCTGTGGTGGCAAGAGTCTAAAGGGGTCCGCCTGGAGTTGCTGAGGCTGTTGCTGAGCCCGCAGCTGATTGCAGGCCAGGGGCCCTGCACTGTGCTCCAGAAAAGGGGAATGGAGCTGACACAGGAGCTGGCTTGGTGAGGGCCCCCCGAGCCTGCCCTGGAGGGGAGGGAAGAGGAGGACAAGGGGGCTCTTGGAGTGGATGGGGTGAAGGAGGGATGAGAGAGACAGGCGGGGCAGGGTGGCAGGCAGGCGAACACAAAAAATGTTAAGAACATAAGAACATAAGAAAATCCCGGCTGGATCAGGCCAAGGGCCCATCTATCGTGGAGTGGGTGAAGGAGGGATGAGAGAGACAGGCGGGGCAGGGTGGCAGGCAGGCGAACACAAAAAATGTTAAGAACATAAGAACATAAGAAAATCCCGGCTGGATCAGGCCAAGGGAAGGGCGAGTCCACCTTCCTGTATTATTATTATTTTATTATTTATTTTATTTATTTGATTTATACCTCGTCCGTCTGACCTAAAAGGCCACTCTAGGCGGCTTCCAGTGAATACAAGCAGTAAAATAATACAAAGAGTTACATAAATCATAATTATAACATACATAATACAAAAATAGAACTAAAATAAATAAAGGAGAACAAGAGAAAATCAAGTGTTAGCTGGAGGGAAGGCCTGAATATATAGCCATGTTTT